GAGTTGGAGGAAAAGAAAGCCCAAGCTGAAAGAGAGAAGATGGTGCAACAGAAAGCTAAGAAAATTGAAAATTTGAGCTCAATGGTTTTGTATTCAAATAGGGATGAGACTCATGATCACTTCAAGAAGGTTTGCAAGATGATAAATTAATTTTCATTACTTCTCTTCTTTGATTTTCAAATAAATGTTTTGTTTCTTATTTTTATTGTTTCGGAATTATGAGAGTAACTACTTCAAAGTTCAAGCTTCCATTATCTTTAGACAGAAAATATGTGCTTGGTCTTATTGTTTCCTTTCCAATCAGATAAGGTTTAGTTGATATCAATATACAAAGGGATTAGGGAAAGGTAATTTGGTATTAAAAACCAAAGCATTGTTGGGTAAGTGGGGTGGGGATTTCCTTTGGAAAGGGAATCTTTTTGGTATGCTGTGACCAGAAGCAAGTACGGAATCCAAAGGAAATGGATGAGATGCAAGACTGGCTGTGAGCGGGTCAAGTCTTAACCGTGGAAAGACAATTTTCACCATTCTTAAAGTGCTGTAAATTGGTGTTGGGTAGCAGAGAAAGGGTCAGGTTTGGGAGGCTAGTTGTACTTGGGACGATTGTGAGGATTGCATTGCATGCAAAGCTGAATACTTGTGACCTTTAGGTCATTTGGTGGTGGGAAGAAGCAAAGGTTTTATGGGGCTATAGAGTTCTGGTTGTCCTTTGGGTCATTTGGATGAAATGGAAGAGAAGCGTTGAGGACGAAGGTGGATGAGAGTTGTGGAGTTGATCTGAATTTTGTCCATCTCTATGGGATTCTGCTTGTAATGTTCTTAGGGGTTTTTCTGCTGTTTTATTAGATTGGAAGACAGATGCTAGTTACATTTTTGATGTATTGAGGCTTGATAGGACCTTGTTCTTTGTTTGTTCTGGTTGTACTGTTGTTGTGTACTTCTTTACATTTGTTGATGGTGAGATTGACCTCCTCAAATAGCCTCCTCACTTTAAACTCTTCTTTATAGCCTCCCACGTGGTGCTCCAGCGCCTTGAAAAATTAATGGTTGGTTGAAAAGATAAAGGGTTTGTGCGTTGAGCAGTTTTTGATTTGATCTTTGGCCCTGTTTGGTTCATGGGAAAGGAGCTTGGGGATGGGAAAGGAGGTTTTCGATTTGATTTGATCTTAAATTCTTTTTGGACTGTTATGCTTAGCGTTTATTCGGTTTGTAAATCTCAGTAATGGCTACTAAGCTTGTGTGCTTTTGATAATTTATACTTACTACGTAACTTGTGCATGTAAAACTAAGATGGTAGGAGAAAAATAGAACCTGAATTTCGATAAATGGACAATTTATTTCAACTGGGTTGGTATTTGTCTGATGTTCCGAGGACCTTGATTTTCCAAGGTTGTGAACGATGAAAACTTCATAACAAAAATGGTTTCTTCTTTTTCTTGTGTCCTACATTTTTTAGGCAACACACCACATTTCAAGGCTGATGGTGCTTTCATTTGATGTAGTATCTAACTGCAGCTAAGTTTGTTTGCTTTCCACGAAATTAATCATAGATGGTGTTTTTGACACAGCATTTTAATGATCAAGGATTTTTAGTTGCTTAAAATGTCTTTAAATCTTACTTTCTTTGGGTAATGGGGCTTTTCATTTCCTTGAAAAGCATGAAATTTGCAATGATAACATTGGAAAAGATAATGTAGAAACTAATGCACTTGGGGTACTGTTTGAGATTGGAATTAGATGTAGTTAGTTTTAGATATCACAGATATTTGCTTGAACAATGATCTATTATATAACATTTGGTTTTGTTATCTTTTGGTGATACTAGGATTTTACAAGTATTCATCGGAGTTATGGAGGAAGAAGCAATCCAATTTGATGAGGTTCGTTCAGAGGGTGCGCTGTTGGGAATATCGCCAGCATCCTTCCATTGTCCGCGTCACAAGACCCACATGCCCTGACATTACAAGGCCAAACAGGTACTGATAATTTCATGGATCACATCCTATACGCAACTCATTGTTGAAATTTTGTTTACTTAACTTCATCACTAAGGTTAATAGGTGTCCAAAAGCTTTTGACTTGTACATATGCCTATGTAGGTCTTTCGACTCTATGGAATGATTATTGTACTTGTGTGTTGCGCTGGAATACAGTCCTATACTATCTGATGCATATCTAGAGGTTTATAAGTTTCATGCTTTGCTTAATGATACATAATAACATAAAATTGTTTCAGTGAACCAGCACACTTCCTCTTGCGTGTTGTTTCCTTGTGCCGTAGACCAGTGGGCCCAAGCCAGTATATATGCTGGGTTAAGCAGCATTCCGATGCTGAAGCAGTTTGCCTCAAAAGGGTGCTTGCCTAAAATCAGTAAATGCTTCCGGAGACTAGCTGTACTAAACCAAACAATCAATCATCTGCCTAGGGATGTTGCACCATTTCAGTCCGCATCTTATATTTTGTTTTTGTTGCATGCTAATTGTTGTCTGTTCTGATGTACCTTTTGCTCCCCATCTGTGCTCAAGTTAAGTAGTTTATGATCTTCAAGTTGATTGTTCTAGTAAAATACGTTCTTGGGTTATGTTGTTTATCGTGTCCGTGTAAGGCGTGGTGGTCGCAAGAGGCCTATTCCAAAGGGTATCGTATATGGGAAGACCACAAACCAAGGTGTGACACAACTAAAGTTTCAACGCAGCTTGAGTCTGTTGCTGAGGAGCGCGCTGGCCAGAAATTAGCTGGTCTTAGGGTTCTGAATTCATACTGGATCAATGAGGTGTCTCAATTGTAACTTCTCTATTCTTGTACTACTTGGGTTGCAGTACCTGTTTTGCTGTTTCTTTCTTTTTGGGGTCGGCTTGGTGGTACTTTTATTTTGTGGTGATGCACTTGCTTATTCTTCTTTACTAATCTATCTATTCTATGGGTGCAGGATTCGACGTACAAGTACTTTGAGATAATCATGGTCGATGTTGCTCCTAATGCTATCTGAAATGACCCAAGAATCAACTGGCTCTGCAATCCTGTTCACAAGCACAGGGAGCTTCGTGGGCTGACTTCGGCTGGGAAGAAGTGCAGGGGATTGCGTGGAAAGGGTCACCTATACCACAAGGCACGACCATCTCGCAGGGCAACTTGGAAGAGAAACACCACCCTCTCCCTTCGTCGCTACCGTTGATTTCGGTCATGTTACCTTACGCTTGCTTAGGAAGTTATGTCTGGGTACTTCCAGGAAGACAGTGTTTGAATCAAGTATTGTATTTGAATGATTTACTGTCTAATTCGGATAGGCTCTTTATAGTTAGTCTCGTCTTGGTGTTATGTGGGGTATCATGAGGAAGTTGTTTATGTTTGTCATGAATTTGGTAATTGAAAACTTGAACCAGGTTGTTATTGAATGTTTTACCGTCAAAGTTGATTGTCCCTGGTGACTTATATTGAGAGCTCAAATCCATGACAAAAACATGTTTCTAAACGGCAGGGTCCCACTTTTATGCTAATTTGGACTCTAGTTTCTTTTTTTTTTGGGTCTGAAGGTTTGGACTCTAGTTTATGCGATTCTCAGTCAGACAAAAAGGACATTTAGAAGCCAGATGCCCAAGAAGACAGCAACTCAATTGCACAAGAAGCTAACAATTAATTGTTGAGTGAGGAACAAAGGGTGTGGAGTAGGTCATCACACCTCTCCAGCCCATCAGTTCACTCAACTTGCTTTCTCTCTCCTTTCTTGAAAGGCTTTGGTGCGGCCCCTCCCCATGTGGTTCTTCCAACATCTTTTATCATTTGTTTATTTTTATATTCTTACCATTTTCCAACTTATATGGTATTAATATCAATACATATTCACTTACTCATATGACCACTCATATGACCGTATTCCATTTTTCATCTTTTATATTATAACACGTAAACAAGTTATACCATATGATCATACTCTAGTACACCGTTGTAATTACTCATGTTTTAGTTTTAGTTTTTCTTTATAAAATAATATTTTAAACTATTCTAATGTACGAGGAAGGGAATCGAACTCAAGCGCAAGAAGGTGAACGAACTACCTTAACCAACTAGCAATACATGTAATTTCATTAAAAAGAAAATCAAAGCGTATTCACCCCTGCAGCGTGTTAATATTTAACCATTTGTCCTGTTGACATATTTATGGAATTGTACTCAACTACAAGAATTAAAATGCAATTGGGCATTTTGTCCATCTGGATTGTTAAGAGGTTATCAGTAACTAGTACCTGGCCTGCATTGTTCAACCCACCTCTACTAAAAAAGAACCACACAAACAAAAATAAAAAATCGTTGTCTGAACACTGCAGTGAATAACAAAATAAGAAATTAAGGTCAAGGTTCATAGCTGTGAACAAGAAATTAAGCTGCTTCTTGAGGCTGAGCACCTCGGCTCCTTCTGTCGCTAACTGCTACTTTAGGGTTTTTTGAAGCCTCCTCAAACTTCTTGTTCATATGATCGGACTCGTCTCATGTTTTTTTATCTCTTTCGCCTTCGAAAGGTATCTAACCTTGCTTGTCCCAAGTTATTATTTAATAATGATCAGCCGAATATTAAAAGCTTTTGTTTTTAGAATTTCAGAATTTCAGAATGCTAATAATTTTCTTGCTCAGATTAGGTCATGAGAAGGGCCTTGGACGCACCTGATCATAGCACAGATTAGGTCCAAAAAATTACAACATAATACATTACGTATTTTTTTTTTGGGTCTGAAGAAATTTTAAAAAAAAACTCTTATATTAGGCACCATCACCAGGGATCATCTTAGAAGGTAAACCATTCAAGTTTTCAATTACCAAATTCATGACAAACATTGTCATCCTCGAAGTACCCAGAAACAACTTCCTCAAAAAACCCACACATAACACCAAGACAATCCGACCAAAAAAAGAAAAAACACACCAAGACAAGAGACTATCAAGAGCCTATCAGCTACCAAACTCATGACATCTTAAGCGAGCGTAATGCGCAACGTAACATGACTGAAATCAACGGTACCGACGAAGGGAGAGGGTGGTGTTTCTCTTCCAAGTTGCTCTGCGAGATGGTCGTGCCTTGTGGTATAGGTGTCCCTTTCCACGCAATCCCCTGCACTTCTTCCCAGCCGAAGTCAGCCCACGAAGCTCCCTGCGCTTGTGAACAGGATTGCAGAGCCAGTTGATTCTTGGGTCATTTCGGATAGCATTATGAGCAACATCAACCAGGATTACCTCAAAGTACTTGTAGGTCGAATCCTGCACCCATATAGATAGATTAGCAAAGAAGAATAAGCAAGTGCATCACCATGAAATAAAACTACCACCGAACCGGCCCAAAAAAGAAAGAAAAAGAAAAACAGGTACAGCAACCCAAGTACAAGAATATATAGAAGTAAGAACTGAGTCACCACCTCATTGATCCAGTATGAATTCAGAACCCTAAGGCCTGCCAATTTACGGCCAGCGCGCTCCTCGGCAACAGACCTCAAGCTGCGTTGAAACTTCAGCTGTGTCACACCTTGGTTGGTGGGCTTCCCATATACAATACCCTTGGAAACAGGCCTCTTGCGACCGCCACGCTTTACACGGACACGATAAACAACGTAACCCTGGAACACATTTTACTAGAACAATCAGCTAGAAGATCATAACCTACTTAACTTAAACATTGCTGGGGAACAAAAGGTACATGAACAAATAACATGTAAATTAACAAAATATCACATCCAGACTGAAATAATGCACTTTTTCGGATCAGGATAAAAGCAAGAGTCATCGAGAGATCTCCCTAGGTAGATGAAAATTGTTTGGCCTACTGGTGAACAACACACAAAAGGAAATATGCAGGCTCACTGAAACAATAATATCTAATTATGTATCATTAAGCAATGCATGAAAATTATAGACCCCTCTAGATATGCATCAGATAGGCATATACAATACAAGTCAAAAGCCTGGACACCTATTAACCTTAGTCATGAAGTTAGATAACATAATTTCAACAATGAGTTGCGTATAGGATGCGATCCATGAAATCATATATCATTACCTGCTTGGCCTTGTAACCCAAAAGACGAGCCTTGTCAGGGCGTGTGGGTCTTGTGACTCGGACAATTGAAGGATGCTGGCGATATTCCCAACAGCGCACCCTCTGGACGAACCTCATCACATCAGATTGCTTCTTCCTCCATAACTCCGTTGGATACTTGTAAAATCCTTGTATCACCAAAACAGAACAAAACCAAAGTTATATAATAGATCTTTGTTCAAGGATAATGTCTGTGAGATTTAAAACTGACTGCATCTCATCACAGTCTCAAACAGTGTCTTTTCCTTGCTGTCTCAAGAAAATGAAATAACCAAAAATATAGCTGAAGATTAAAGACACTTGAAGCAACTATCAAATAATGTGATTATAATTTCGTGGAAATCAAACAAACATAACTTTAGTCATATACTACACCAAATCAAATACCAGCCTTGAAATGTTGCCTAAAAAGTGTAGGACAAAAGCAAAAGAGAGTAAAAGATTTTTTGTTCCAGAATTGTCATCTTTCACAACCATGGAAAACCAACACCCTCAGTCACCGAAGCATCAGACAAATACCAACCCAGTTACAATAAAGTGTCCATTTATATCGAAATTCAACTTCTATTTTTCTGCTTTCATTAGCCATTACTGGGATTTACAAACCAAATAAACGCTAGGCGCACAACATTCCAAAAAGAATTTAAGATGTAAATAACATATAGAAAGGAAAGCTAGAAAATCAAATGCATATTTAACAGATTAAGATGAAGTGTCACTGAAACCGAGAGAGAGAGAGAGAGAGAGAGGTATCCATTGTATGGCAATGAGCTACAATGCGCAGGCTTCGGCAGTGGGGCTAGGGCTTTCACCACGCAGAACTAGGGTTTGTGCAGTAAACAGAAATTTATAGTGTGGTGGAAGTGGTCGTGGACTTCGAATCTGGGCCGTCCATTTCCTACCAAACCCTAATATTAAATGGTCCCGAGACGACGGCGTGTGGCGTCCCAAAGAAACGACAGCGTCTTTTTGGCTCTTAAATCAATGAACCCAAAATCTTGGAGCCCAAATCCATGACAAAAACATGTTTCTAAAGGGGAGGGTCCCACGTTTATGCTAATTTGGACTCTAGTGTTTTTTTTCTGGGGTCTGAAGGTTTGAACTCTAGTTTATGCGCTACTCAGTCAGACAAAAAGGACATTTAGAAATCAGATGCCCTAGAAGACAGCAACGCAATTGCACAAGAAGCTAGCCATGAATTGTTGAGTGAGGAACAAAAGGGTGTGGAGTAGGTCACACCTCTCCAGCCCATCAGTTCACTCCACTTGCTTTCTCTCTCCTCTCTTGAAAAGCTTTGGTGCGGCTCCTCCCCATGTGTTTCTTCCAACATCTTTTATCATTTGTTTATTTTTATGTTCCCACCATTTTCCAACTCATATGGTATGAATATCAATAGATATTCACTTACTCATATGATCCTACTATATTTTTATCTTTTATATTATAACATGTAAAGAAGTTATACCATATAATTATACTCCAATACACTGCTATAATTACTCTCTCTTTTTTCTGTACAAAATGATATTTTAAACTATTCTAATGTACGAGGAAGGGAATCAAACTTAGGTGCAAGAAGGTGAACAGACTACCGTAGCCTAGGCCTGAATGAGAATCAGTTCATAACAGTAGATGGCTCTTCTGTTAACCAAATCAAAGACTTCGGTAGGCTTCGAATCGATTAACCTAACATTCGGTTCAGATTGGTTCGGTAGGCCGGTAATACCGTAATAAAAACATACTAAATACTAATAAAAATACAATTTATAATAATTTCACATAACATAAGTTCTTGAACAAATACACCAAACTATCCTTGTAAAATATAAAAATCATAGGGCTCGTTTGGTACACAGGATTGGCTTGGACTGGCTTGAACTAAATTTAGTACCATATTTGTTTTATCTAATCCTAGTCTTAGATGGGATTGCTAATACCGGGCCCACCAAAAACACCTCCTTAGGAGGGGACTACTAATCCCATGTGGAAAGGGAGGATTATCTAATCCCAATGCTCACCAATGTATAAAATGCATATATTATATTGTAAAATTAATAACATACATTATTATTATTATTAAACTTACTTACACATATACTATAATGTACATATATACATGTATATACACATAAATATATCATATATGTATATATGTATATATACATACACATATATACATATATAATATATATAATATACATATACATATATACATGTATATTATTATTATAATATACCCATATACACATATACATATTAATATTATAATAATAGCATACGTGTATATATGTAATATATATTATATATTATATATTATAATACATATATATACGTATATATACATACAGTTATTCCCTTATCC